GAATCTACATATAAATTACCAGAGGAAAGCAAATCAGATTTCACTTCAGGTGGTCATCCTGAAAAATTAAACACAAAATTCTTAGCTACCAATAACTGTGAAAAATATTAAGCTTTTAGAACTTAGGGAACATCTGTTAAAGTTAACAAGTGAACCTCAGGTTCCACCTTTACTCAAATACACATACACATACAAATTTAGCTTGGTTTTATATCAATGTTCTCTTGAGGAACTTCACAAATACTTGGTTAGCAGGAAAGACAAACAATTCAGATGTGTCCCAAGCACCTCAACCTCCCTGTAGCATACAACTCATTCAAAATATAATGTAAAACTCTTGTTTTTAATGGAACTGTCAGCTTCTTTATACTCCGGTCACTTATTTTCTACTAACATAATCAAAGCTCCATTTCAATGAATATAATACAACACTATTATATAAGTCTTTGGGATCAGAAAAGGTTAAGGACAACATATTGGAATATGCCAGAGGCAATGGGATAGGCCCCTAGTGGTAATTTCTAATGAAGAGTGTGTGGGTTTTTAAAAAGTATTTTATTATAGATGAAGGTTTACACATACTAGGTTCCCAGTTTTATACAAATCTTTCTGTGGTATTGGTTACAATATGAGCTCTATTTTTAAAAGAATCCTTAAAGGTAGCAAAAGAGGAAGGTCAAAAAATTCTTCTAGATAATGCATCTGAGTGTTTCACCATATTTGATTGTACCTGAGCCTTAAAGTCAGAGCAATCTTTAAAGAGTCAACCCAATTTCATAATGTTACAGAGAAGGAAATGAAACCTCTACTGGATTGAATCATTTGACCACGGTCATTACAGCAAATTAATGCAAGGGTCCTTACTAGAACTGAAGCTCCTAAATCTTAGGCCCCTCCTCCACAAATACACACTTCTTAAAAAGTACCCCCTGACCTGGTTTTACTTTGTTACTCCAGCAAAAGGATATGGACCCATAACCAATTCTTCTTACCATTAATATCTTAAAAATCATTGTTGTTGTTGTTTATGCCATGGAGTAGATTCTGACCCATAGTGACCCCTGCATAAGGTTTCCAAGGAACAGCTGGTGAGCTTGAATCACTGACCTTGCAGTTCAAATGACTCTGCAGTCTGACTCATTAGCCCACAGAGCCACATCAGGATTCCTAAAAATCATTACATACTCTGTAAATCTTTTACAGTCAGTCTTTCATTAGATGGATAAGTAACATTTATAATGGTTGTGCAGAGAATGCACCTTCTAGGTACTCTGGTCTTCTGGGTTTACTCTGTTTTATCTTCATACCACTCTTGATGACAGTTTGGAGAAATGGACATTCTAACACTGAAATTCCCAAAGGGATCAATGGATCCATCTATTGTCACCTTTGTGACACCTACTTCATTTCCATGGTGGCTCCTTCTACCTGTTGTATTCAATGCTTTTCCCTAGATGACTCTGTCCTACAAAACTGTTGGATTGAGGCAGAGAAAATCAGCGATTTCTCACAAAATTTTAGGTATCTTCATAAAATACTGAGCTACATGCATTTAAAAATTATTACTTTGTGTGTCCAATTTGTTGTTGTTAAGTGCCATCAACTCAGTTCTGACCCATAGCGACTCTGTATAGGGTTTCCAAGGAGTGACTGGTGAGCTTGAACCACTAACCTTGCGGTTCAAGCCAACTTTGCAGTCCAGAACATTAACCTACAGCGCTACACCAGGACTCCAATGTAGGGCAACTCAAATCAAAGTTTTTAGTCTTCTTTTAGTACTACTCTGTCCAACTTTTAAACTTCTATGCTCAATACACACCTTGCTGAAGAACAGGTGACCCAAACTCATGATAATTCCTTTCTCCTTGTTGTTAAGTGCCATTGAGTTGGTTCCGAATCATAGCAACCCTGTACAGGGTTTCTTAGAAGTGGCTGGGTCTGATCCGTCAACCTTGCAGTTGCTTAGCCTACAACACCACATCAGAACTCCTTCTCCTTGTTACTATGTCTGCAACCTTACAAATACCCAGGCATATAATATTTCTATTATATATTAGATTGGCGATTCTCCTAAGTGTGGTCTGCGGATGCTTTTAGAGAGCCACTGGCTAAAACTGTTTTCACAAAAAGGAGTTGTTTTTTCAGTGTGTTGACATTGCACTGATGGTGCCGATGCGATGGTGACCAAAACTACAGGTGACTTAGCTTAACCAAGCACCAAACTCTGCAGTCATTGTACTCTCTTCTGTCACAATCACAGAAGAAAAGGAAGAAGAAATCGAAAAATCAAAAGAGATATTAACTTGACTAAACTTTAACTCTTGAGTACATATTCTATTATTCTCTGGTATGATCAACAAGGGAGTATGCAGAAAACACTTCTGTCCCTCAGTGAAGTCCATCTGGAGGAAAAGCATTAACATAAGTGAGTTGTGAGTTGAACTGCTTTGTTCACAGAGCTCCACAGTTACCTGAAATATTGACTGAGAGAAAAACTATAATGATGAGATTGGGTGCTCTGACAAATTGTTGTTGTTAGGTGCCAATACTGTCCCCCAAATCAGACAAAGTAGAAACCTCTTACTTCAAGGAAAAGACATAATAGTATCTGCAACACAATTCAAGTTTTCAAGCACAATTTAGAATTTCAGAAAACTAGCATCCACCAAGGTGAGTTTAACAGCTACCAATAAGACACTGCTGATGAGATCAGTGGTGAGAATAACAAATTTTAAGGTTTACATTTTTTCCGTAAGACAATATGTCAACATTTGGAAGATCTGAGTAATCATTCAGTGAATCAGTATTTTTAAATGATGTGACAAAATCATGCATGGGTAAAAGGTCCATGCAAAGGCAAGCCAGAACAAAGACTGTTAACATAACAGAATGCAAAACATTCATGGAGACTAGTTTCAGATTCCACAATTCAGCTAACCTTTAAGGAACTTCCACTTCTTTTGATGTGGCATTAAATAAATAAATATGTGGCCACAGTTATCTAAAAAGGTTATTAAAATTTCCTCCCTTTTCCAGCTATAACTGGATTTTTTCCTCTAGGTAACTCAACCGCAACCACAGTACAACAGATTTCGTGAACAAGCAGATATGAGAATACTAAGTCTGCTATTAAGCCAGAAACTAAAAGATGTACAAAATGCAAAATGATACCACTTTTCTCTTTTTTTAAAAAAACAAAATATAGTTGCTTTACAATAAGCTTTATTATGTATGTGGTCATACAATGGGTTTATTATGCATATTTTAAATGAATGAATACACTCTTTGATATTTTGCTTTAATTTTTAATATGGCAAATACTGGTAGACATGACCTATGAAAACAAAAGCTCTTCGGACTCTCTGATAATTTTTAAGAGTGTGAAAGGCTCCGGAGATCAAAAAGTTTGAGACCCACAGTCGTCTATGAGTATCCTAAGAATTGTGAAGGGGAAGTATAAGATCTAAAACATGGGGGGAGTGTTCCAGAGCAGGCAGGTTAAATCTGGATTTTACCATAGAGTTGGTCAGCAACTTCAAGCTAATAATTTCAGTTTCCTCTTCTAAACTGTAAGATCAACATATCAGCCTCGAGAACATCACTCTGAACATCCAAAACAAAACAAAAACTAGTTTGCTTTAGAGTTGATTCCAACTCTATGGTGACCACACGTAAGTCAGAGTA